TTAATCTGTAGCATTGATCTGTCCTCTTCATTATTTACTAAGATGTAATGGTTAACCAATTTTTAATTCATTTAATGTGTGCCATCTTAATTTTGTATTTTTACAGTTTCTTAATCAAAATTGTATGTGGTACCAAGTCAAATGTCTTACAAAAGTCTATGTATATTTCCTTCAAATTATTACCTTCATCAGCCAAACTCGTAATCTCATTCAAAAAGAAATCAAGTTAGTTTGACAAGATCTATTTTCCATACACCCATGTTGATTGACATTAATTATATTGCTCTCCTTTAATTCTTTATTAATCAAGTGCCATATCAACTGTTCCATTATCTTGCCCAGGATCGACGTCAGATTGACAGGCCTATAATTATCTGGATCATCCCATTTACCCTTTTTAAATACTGGCACATTATCTTTCTTCCAATCTCTTGGAACTTCCCCGGTGTTCCAAGAGTTATAGAAAATCAACATTAATGGTCCAGTGAGCTCCTCAGTCAGCTCTTTTAAAACTCGTGGATGCAAGTTATCTGGACGTGCAGATTTAAAAATGCCTAACTTTAGAAGCTGCTCTTTAATATCCTCCCGAGTTACTATTGGAATGGAAAATATTTCATCTTATCATATGATGTGAATGTATCATCTGTTTTTTCCCCAAATACAGAACAAAAATATTTAATGAATACTTCTGCCTTTTCTTCATTATTATTGGTAATCCTACCATTTCCATCTTGTAATCAATGTTTCACAATTCCTCACTTCTGATTTATATTTGTCACTATCAACATCCCCTTTCTTCCATTTGGTATCTGTTATTTTCTTTGACTCCATAGTCTGGTGATTAGGGCCCTCCCTAAGGGAGACCCAGTTTTAAGTTCCTGTTCCAATGATCATTTAGTTATCTATAAAAAGAGGCACAGCTTCAACATGATGAGCGAGATATGGTTATGGCAGTCTCCTACAATGCAGGAGACCCACGTTCAAATCCCCACTCCCTGGTGGGAAATTGAACCCAGGTTTTCCCACATCCTGGGTAAGTGCTGTAACTAGTGGGGTAAAAGTTGTACAAGTCCTTCTCTAGCTGTGCTGTGAATGGCATCGAAGTTTGGTTGGGGAGAGGGAATTGATCAAAACTATTCACGTCAAATTTGCAAATATTTTCGGGACAACCTAAAACTGCATTTTTAAATGAATAAACTATTCATCAATTATTATTTTTTGCCCGGCTTTACTTACAGCGTGTGTGCGCATGCACACCCACACACACACTATTCTCAAAAGAATGATGCTTTAATAGTCAGGAAGCTACCCTTTTTCTCCTTGCTGTAGGGTGCAAGGTATCCCCTACATTTTCACCATCCCAGTGATAATATCCAGGGGTAGGTAGAAGAAAGAAAAGGGGGAGGGAGGAGGGGCAGATAATTCGGTAGCAAATGTTGTTGAAATGCCTGCTAAAGCAACAAGAAAAGTAGAACATGACAGAAAAAGAGAATCAGGTGCAAATGGTTGTGCCCTTCAGAGGACGGAGTGACACCATTTAATTGCTCAGAATGTTTTTGAAATGAGGTGTCTACCTCCAGTAGAGCATAGATTAATCTTCACTGAACTGTTGGTATGACAAGTTGTTAGACGGGGGAAAAAATTCAATTTCAGATGAAGCAGCTGATAGAATCAAATGAGTATTTCAAGCACACAAGGAGAGTGAAATGTGTTTACTCTGAGTTAGGGTGACTCAGATTGTTATGCTGATGTCAGAGCTTCCAAAACTCTATTATGGAGACATGTCATAGGCAAAAATCTTGATAGCTTTCCTGAAGTGTTCCTGCAGGGATAATAAAGTGGGTTGTTATTAACTGGTTTCCTTTTCATGTTCTGATTTCTGTTTTCTTCTTGTTGTTGGTTTTTTATTACAATAGTGGAAGCAGGGAAGTGGGCAGTAATTGAGTCATTCTGGAGTTTCCATATCCATGTTTATTCTGTTACAGTACAGAAGGATGTGTAGACTGAGAACCACAAGGGTACAGAGTGAGAAATACACACTGCTGAAAGCCATGGTGTTACTGTGGGGGCATGACCAAATGCAGAGCAATTGGCACGCACTTCAAAAGTGAGCCTCTCCAACTCAGAATTCATATAACAGGGTCGCTCTGCTTGGCAGCAAACAAACAGCTATATTTCTTTGGAATGTAGGGATTATCTATAGTTATGTTTTAAAATCAGCCTTGCAAAATTCTACCCATCCATTTGCCCAGGGTAAGTGATTTTTTTTTCTTTTGACAGGTGAGTAGCATATCATATAATTTTCATTATAATTATCTTGGTAAAGAGCAGGTGAGCAGTTTTTGTTTTTTCACTTGGGCTGGTAATGTTTAACGATAATTTATTGCAAAGGGTACAGGTTTGGAACTAGGGGTGCTGCTGCACTCCCTGCCTTCAAGTGGTTTCCATCATATTCAGGGTTTACAGTTTGGTTCAATGACTCTCAGCACCCCCACTATACAAATTGTTCCAGCACCCCTGGCAAAAGGAGAAATCTCACTGATGAAGACAGAGAGTGGGGGTATTTGGTATATCTGTTCAGACCCACTGAGTTACTACCAAAAAGCATTTAATATATATTCAATAACCCCATTCAGAAATGCGGTAGTAATAGTTACCTGCATTTTTCAGCTAGTTGAAGGTTCCTGGTCTCTTCAATCTCATTCCTTGCCACACCCATAACCATGTTTTGCTGTTTAGACATCTCGACAGGAGATCTATGCTGTCTATGTCACAAGGTAACTGGGAAGGGAGGTTATGTCATTATGCTCACTGGACTGCATGGATAATTTTTTTTCCTAGGTGTCAAATTCAAGATGATGACTATAATTTATGAAATAGTTTGGTTTCTAGCATCTGTAGAGAACTCTTCTCTTCCCTTGCACCATCCTGAAAGTTGATTCAAACTCCACTAAACTGAAATAAGCACAATTTTGATAGGAAGTGTTTAGCTCTTGGTCCAATGAAGTACAAGTCTCTTGACTTTTAGGGTAAGTTGCAATGATTATATATTCACTCAGGACTTTTCTAAGTATTGTAAGGGAAGTGGGGAGGATGCATATCTTTTGTCGTCTATTTTAAATTGATTGGACGGGGGCAGCTGGAGGGGGACTGGGCTTTTTTGTTTGTTTTCCAAAATTTTTACTACTACAAAAACATTCAGAGGAAGGAAGGAAGGAAGGAAGGAAGGAAGGAAGGAAGGAAGGAAGGAAGCGAGTAGTTGGGTCTTGGACCAGGAAAAGGCTGGTGAGAAAGAAATGCTGTACTAAGAAGAAGGTGAGGAACCAGTGTGGGGTCAGAGATGAAATTAGCAGAAAGTCCAAACAGCAGGATGAAAAGACGAAGGAGCAGGGTAATATTTAAAATGGTCCCCACTATCTGGAAGTAGCCATTTTAAGAATTTGACATCCAATTTTTTATTTTTAGGATGAATATAAACGAAAATTCAGCAAACGGCCAGATTCCCATACAAACAAAATCCAGATCAGAGATCTGACACATCTCTCATAATACTTACATTAGTTACTAGACATTTCGTATAAAATCATCATTGTGTTTTTTACCAGTAACAAATAACATAATATGTATTTACTGTTGTAACAACAGTATCCCATCTTCTAAATTGTTTGTTTGTTAGAAGGGGTTTGTTTTAGACCTGTTAAGGGATTTTAAAAAATTATTGGCAATGGGTATGTTTTCATTTCCTCAAATGCTGAGACTATGCAACAGGGAAAAAAATCCAAAAGAGGCATCAGTTCATCCAAAATAACATTTTTACAGTATAAATGAATATTTATAATCTGGTCCCCTTTGTCTAGGGTCCATCGGACTCACATCTCAAGTTTATTAATAGAAGCTCCACTCCACCATCATCCACTCCATTCCACTCCACCATCATCTTGTTATAATTCTCATCAGCCCTCTGATGGAGTCTGTAATTGCTTTAATTATGGCTGAAATCTACCAGCAGGAGCTTACAAGAGGCTGTCAGAACCTGTATTAAAATTCAGACCATCTCAGTTCTATTGCTGGAAGAAGTGATGGTGAGCCAGGGACTAGGAAGGGATGGGAGAGAGAGACTGAAACAGTATAACTATCTTTCTACAGTAAGAAAAGCAAACCAATTAAAAGGCCTGCCATCCTGTAATTACCAGGGAGTCCTGTATTATAGAGGAAGCTACAGCTTTGTTACACAACAAACAGACTGCTTGTAGTTTAACATGAATAATGAGTCAGATGCATGAGCAAGACTCTATTAAACTGTTGTCACAAGCAGCCGTGTCCCGCATTGATTAATGATTCCATGTGTCATCAAGGAAAGGTTCTTCATTTTTAAGCATGCGGATCATCGTCATCAGTGATGCCAATGCAACCAGCTGCCTGTTTTCAACTTACACCCTGAATGTGGCAATTAAATCACTACAAGAGAACACAAAACACTGATTATTTTTGCTATCTGGAGGGCTGAGGGCTGTTAAAGACCAAAGGATTCGGGTTGCATGATTCCCCTGCAGAGGCAAATGTATCTGCTTTGTGACCATCCTAGATGCCAGTGCAACTCCTAGATATGATATGATGAATCCAATAATTGAACGCCTCACTGGAAATTTTAAGTCAATTACAGAATCTTTAAAAATGAGTAAAATCCAATATGGGAGACACTGTTTTTGGGTTTGTTTTTTTTAAAGACAACTGTTTTCAATTAATATGCCCAGTACAAGCATACTGTCCTGACTTATGACTACTGTCCAAGCCTATACATGGATTATACACAGGGATCAGTTATTCTAGGGTTAATGTAAATAGCATACAAAGTTCATAATTAAGGACACACTTGTATATTACATGTACAAGCTACGCATAATGAATACTTGATCCTTGCACTTTTTCTAGTATCAGGTCTATTACAGACATTATCTGGCGAAAGAAAGCAATAACTCAATCAGGCACTACTGACTTACAGGCTTCACGCAGTTTTTCCTTGTCATAATGCAGCCCCTCGTAATCTTGTAAACTAATCCTATTCACTCGGATCCGCAGGCGGTCTGGGATGGAGTGGGGACTGCAATGGAAAAAAAAGATCAGTTAGAAAAGGCTAAAATCTTAGAGTGAAAAGGGGGTAGAGTATGGGGAGATTTTAGATGAATGACAAGAGGGAGAGAGCAGAAACCTCACCAAAATCAACACCCCGTGGGCACATAGTTTTCCATCAACAGAGTTGAGTTTTTAACAGATTATGATGACTGCCCACTAAGACTGAAGTGACCGATGTGTCTTTAAGGACCAAATGGGTCAAGAAGATTCCTTACTTGCTGGGCAGTCTGGAATCACATTTTTTTCTGATCTTGATAGTTTTCAGTTTGATGCCCCTGCTAAATTTCCAGGAGACAATTGGTGACTGTGTACCTGACTGCAATTCTACTGAGGGCAATGTGACTGAAAAGGTGTAACTGAAGGCAGAATGCCATCCTCCAAATCCTTGTGATGGCTCAGGGTATTTAGGCCCAATTCTCAGGACTGGTCGTTAAGCACATAGGGCAGCTCAGGGAAGTAGGTTCACAAATGTGCCTAAGAGACAGATTTTCAAAGGTACTTAGGTGCCTATAGATGCAGGTAGGTGCCCAGTGGGATTTTCAAACATGACTATGCAGGTTAGGTGCCTAATTCCTATTTGATTTCAATGGGATTTAGGTGTCTAACTTCCTTAGGCATTTTTGAAAATCCTACTAGGCACCTATCTGCATATTTAGGCACCTAAATACCTTTGGAAAATCTGGCCTTAAGATCCTTATTGTGGAGCCATGCTTACCTCCATCTGACCCTCACCTGATGTTTTATTCTACTATTCAAAGGGGCTACTAATTAAGATCTAAAGGAACCTGGCCACATTTGCATTTTCCATCTGTAAATTTGGGCTATTTGTCCTTCCATCAGAAAGAGTTCAGCAGGACAAAAGAGTAGTTCTTGGGGCTACCTGGAGCAGAAGGTTTGAGCACAACTGTCTCTCTCCAGGAAATCTGGCTGGTGATCTTAACCCCATACCCAGTGGACACCTGGCCTACAATATGGTCAGGAAAGACTTAAGATTAGAATAGCAGGGTGGTGCCGTAAATTAGATGTAAGATGCTACAAGAGAAACTTTTTGGAGGTGAGCAGGTTTGGAATAGTAGGATTGACATAATCGACAAAAATCTGTCGAGGAAGCCCTCCTCGCAATACATGTATGCCATACACAGCCATGAAATAAATATGTGTATTACAATCATGCTTTACACACAACAATGAATTAAATTTCACAGCACCCCATGTGATGAGTGTGATATCCATCTTATTGACAGGGAAACTGAGTCGTGCAGAATGTAAATGACTTCCCTAAGGTCACATAATGGCTGACAAAGTTATGAATCAATTCCCTGTCCTGTGTGTTACCAAAAGACCATCCATCCTACTTACATTTCACTCAATAATATGTCAGTAATATCAGTCTGGTAATGTTGCTAGCACCTTGTCATAAATATAAAGGGAAGGGTAACCACCTTTCTGTATACAGTGCTATAAAATCCCTCCTGGCCAGAGGCAAAACCCTTTCATCTGTAAAAGGTTAAGAAGCTAAGGTAACCTCGTTGGCACCTGACCCAAAATGACCAATGAGGGGACAAGATACTTTCAAAGCTGGAGGGGTGGGGAACAAAGGGTTCATCTGTCTGTGTGATGCTTTTGCTGGGAACAGATCAGAAATGCAAGCCTTCCAACTCCTGTTAAATTAATAAGTAATCTAGCTAGAAAATGCATTAGATTTCTTTCATTTAATGGCTGGTAAAATAAGCTGTGCTGAAGGGAATGTATATTCCTGATTTTGTGTCTTTTTGTAACTTAAGGTTTTGCCTAGAGGGATTCTCTATGTTTTGAATCTGATTACCTTGTAAGGTATTTACCATCCTGATTTTACAGAGGTGATTCTTTTATCTTTTCTTTAATTAAAATTCTTCTTTTAAGAACCTGATTGATTTTTCATTGCTCTTAAGATCCAAGGGTTTGGGTCTGTGTTCACCTGTACCAATTGGTGAGGATTTTTATCAAGCTTTCCCCAGGAAAGGGGGTGTAGGGCTTGGGGGGATATTTTGGAGGAAGACGTCTCCAAGTGGGCTCTTTCCCTGTTCTTTGTTTAAAACACTTGGTGGTGGCAGCATAGGGTTCAAGGACAAGGCAAAGTTTGTACCTTGAGGAAGTTTTTAACCTAAGCTGGTAAGAGTAAGTTTAGGGGGTCTTTCATGCGGGTCCCCACATCTGTACCTTAGAGTTCAGAGTGGGAAAGGAACCTTGACACACCTAATACACTCATGGTCTTCCAAAAATTAAAATATTATGCATAGATATATTTGTATGAAGGGACATGGTTCTATCCACTTTATTAAGTTTTCTTCTTGGTCCTTCTCCTTTCCACTGTATCTGATCTACAGGAATTGTTTTGCCTGTTGGAAAACCAATCCCCATACTAGCTGTGTTTCAGAAAGGTAAACTTTTTACAAGTGTGCCATTATTCCTTTGTCTGCAAATACAGCTGACTTAACAAAACATGTTGTCTCTGACCTGTCTTGTTAAATCCTCCGAGATGGCAATTAGCAAGTATTTCAGAGTGAGCTTATCATATACTTTTGGTCTGTTGGAAAAAAACAGTTGTGCCACCTCTGGGTAGATGAAAAGAAAGAAATTGAAAATGAAGTCCCAGTTAAAGAAGCCCTTAGGCACAGTTGTCTTTGCCTGAAAAGTGACAAAGAATAATGAATTCAGGGCTCTTCTGTAACTGGAGAATAAGACAACACACTGGAAAGAGCTTTATCAAAGAACCTCCTGTTCTATACAGGAGTTCCTGTAGCAATGATACAAATGACCTGTACATAAAGTACAACTTCTAAGGAATCATAAATGTTAGCAGCAGCAGGAGTGATGCTTTTTGCAGTATACAAGCTACCAACATTTCTCCTGTGCTGATTGACAGGAGCTGTGGTGTCCAGGTGCCCAGAGATGTCAGGAAGCTGTCCATGTGCAAGCTAAACTTGTCACAGTTTATTTGACAGACAGCTGGGCTACTAACTTCCAGCACAGCTTCAGGGGACATCCTTCTAACTTAACTGGCATTATGATATTCCATATAACCAGCTCTCTCCATCTGCAGTTTTTACAGGTAGGCAGACCAACACGGAGGCAGATATATAGATGGGGGGGGGCAGTGAGCACATAGAAGAAACAATATCTATATAATTAGATTTAGTCACTTTTTGTCAAAGACATTTAGTGTCAGACAGCTGGCTGGCTGAGAAATGAATAGGATAGTCTGAGGAGTTATGTTTCCTTGCAAGTCATATAAAATACAGGTTCCTAAAATGAAAAATTGCTAGGGATTTTATTTTTAGCAAGAAAAAAGATAAGAAATTTTTTTAAGTCTGGGAATATAAGAATTTAATTGCATGGTCTTTGTCTGAGGGAAGGAAAACATATTTCAGTGACTTTATTCAAGTTTGTTAAAAGTGACAGATTGATAGCCCTGGAAACTGAAGTCTTTTGTCCACAGGTACAACATGTGAAGGGGAAGTGCTGGCTTCCCCACTATGTACTGTGTTTTAAAATTAACCTAAGCCCCAGCTCTGTGATTATAAAGATAATTCACTCTCCCAGCACATGGGTGCTCAGCCTGGGGACCCTGAACAGGCCTGGAGGCGGGGGTCGCAATTTCCTTCACTTTCTTTATGGTTAGACTGCGGGGAGGGGCATTGGGGTTTAAAAAAAGCTTGCAACACAGGGTCACACTAACAAAACGGTTGAGAGGCACTGTTCTCTCTCATTCATTCTTCTTTATGAAACTGCCAGTAAGGGTTCCAGTTATGAAGGAGGTTTGTGTGATATGGACACCTGTTCACTAGGCACTCAACTGAAATGACTGACTCATCCCATCACACAGAGCTGACTGGTAGCAAAATCCAAAACCAAACTGGTGACCTTCAGTCTACAGAAGTAATTATATGGTCCCCATGACCATCATTTCTGAGCTCCACACAAACATGAATGTATCCTCAAAACACCCCTGAGAGGTAACTAAGTACCATTATCCTCATTCTACAGAGGGGGAACTCAGACACAGAACCATTAAGTGACTTTCCCAGAGTCACACAGAAAATGTCTGGTAGAGTCAGGAACTGAACTCCACTCTCCAGAGTCCCAGTCCAATATCTTACCAACAAGACCACCTACCAGTCCCCTAAATTATTTAGTATGGCTGGTTGAATTATTTTTGTTGAAACTGGTTTTCAATGGAAAACTGGAGTTTTGATTAAATAAAATTTTTCACAAGAATTATCTTCCTTCTGTGGAAAATTTTCAATTTTTTTTATTGAAAGCTGAATGACTGAAAAACAAAATATTTTTTCCTTTTGAATTTCCACTGAAAAATCAAAAATTTCCATGGAAAATTTAAAAGAAAATTATTTTTGTTTGTTCTCATCTAAATATTCCAGAGGTGAGGGGAGGGAAATCAGCCAGCTCTACTCTTTAGTTCCTCAGGACAGACACAGAAAACTCTGTGGAACTATCCCCCAAACACAGAGCTTTGCTCCTGATAATCCATTTTGCAGGTAAGAATATTGAGATGGTGAAGCCACTTATGGTAAAAGCATCTTTGGCAATCCTCAGATTTTCCTGAGTCCAGCCAGCCTGGTGTAGTCCAGAAACTGCATTGATTTTGTTGGTTAATGATTTCCTTGGGGTAATGCAGTGTTTTCCAAACTCGGGATGCTGCTTGTTCAGGGAAAGCCTCTGGCGGGCCAGGCCAGTTTGTTTACCTGCCGCGTCCACAGGTTCGGCCGATCGCGGCTTCCACTGGCCGCAGTTCGCTGCTCCGGACCAATGGGGGCTGCGGGAAGCGGCGGCCAGTACGTCCCTCGGCCAGTGCCACTTTGTGCAGCCCCCGTTGGGCTGCAGTGGTGAACCATGGCCAGTGGGAGCCACGATCTGCGGAACTTGAGGACGCAGCAGGTAAACAAACCAGCCCGACCCGCCAGGGGCTTG